GTCCAAATCTTACCCCAAGATTCGTATATAGACATGGATCAAAATTTAACAGCCCCATAACTAGGTCAAATCTCATCCGATTTTCACGAAGTTTGGCGTTTTCTTCATGGTTTTCCCTCTAGAATAATCTGGCATTCAAATCTGAACACCGATTTTTTAGTCGAAATTCATGTCCAAATCTTACCCCAAGATTCGTATATAGACATGGGCAAAATTTACCACATGGATTAAAATTTACCACTCCCATGTCTCGGTCAAATCTCATTCGATTTTCACGAAGTTTGGCTTTTTCTTCATGGTTTTCCCTCTAGAATAATCTGGCATTCAAATCTGAACACCGATTTTTTAGTCGAAATTTATGTCCAAATCTTACCCCAAGATTCGTATATAGACATGGATCAAAATTTAACAACCCCATAACTTGGTCAAATCTCATCCGATTTTCACGAAGTTTGGCTTTTTCTTCATGGTTTTCCCTCTAGATTAATCGGGCATTCAAATCTCGATACCGATTTTTTGTTCGAAATTCATGTCCAAATCTTACTTCAAGATTCGTATATAGACATGGGTCAAAATTTACCACCCCCATAACTAGGTCAAATCTCATCCGATTTTCACGAAGTTTGGCTTTTTCTTCATGGTTTTCCCTCTAGATTAATCTGGCATTCAAATATGAACACCGATTTTTTAGTCGAAATTCATGTCCAAATCTTACCCCAAGATTCGTATATAGACATGGATCAAAATTTAACAACCCCATAACTAGGTCAAAGCTCATCCGATTTTCACGAAGTTTGGCGTTTTTTTCATGGTTTTCCCTCTAGATTAATCTGGCATTCAAATCTGAACACCGATTTTTTAGTCGAAATTCATGTCCAAATCTTACCCCAAGATTCGTATATAGACATGGGCAAAATTTACCACATGGATTAAAATTTACCACTCCCATATCTCGGTCAAATCTCATTCGATTTTCACGAAGTTTGGCTTTTTCTTCATGGTTTTCCCTCTAGAATAATCTGGCATTCAAATCTGAACACCGATTTTTTAGTCGAAATTTATGTCCAAATCTTACCCCAAGATTCGTATATAGACATGGGTCAAAATTTACCACCCCCATAACTAGGTCAAATCTCATCCGATTTTCACGAAGTTTGGCTTTTTCTTCATGGTTTTCCCTCTAGATTAATCTGGCATTCAAATCTGAACACCTATTTTTTGGTCGAAATTCATGTCCAAATCTTACCCCAAGATTCGTATATAGACATGGGTCAAAAATTACCACCCCTATAACTAGGTCAAATCTCATCCGATTTTCACGAAGTTTGGCTTTTTGTTCATGGTTTTCCCTCTAGATTAATCTGGCATTCAAATCTGAACACCGATTTTTTAGTCGAAATTCATGTGCAAATCTTACCCCAAGATTCGTATATAGAGATGGGCAAAATTTACCACCCCCATAACTCGGTCAATCTCATCCGATTTTCACGAAGTTTGGCTTTTTCTTCATGGTTTTCTCTCTAGATTAATCTGGCATTCAAATCTGAACACCTATTTTTTGGTCGAAATTCATGTCCAAATCTTACCCCAAGATTCGTATATAGACATGGGTCAAAAATTACCACCCCTATAACTAGGTCAAATCTCATCCGATTTTCACGAAGTTTGGCTTTTTGTTCAAGGTTTTCCCTCTAGAATAATCTGGCATTCAAATCTGAACACCGATTTTTTAGTCGAAATTCATGTCCAAATCTTACCCCAAGATTCGTATATAGACATGGGTCAAAAATTACCACCCCTATAACTAGGTCAAATCTCATCCGATTTTCACGAAGTTTGGCTTTTTGTTCAAGGTTTTCCCTCTAGATTAATCTGGCATTCAAATCTGAACACCGATTTTTTAGTCGAAATTCATGTGCAAATCTTACCCCAAGATTCGTATATAGACATGGGCAAAATTTACCACCCCCATAACTCGGTCAATCTCATCCGATTTTCACGAAGTTTGGCTTTTTCTTCATGGTTTTCCCTCTAGATTAATCTGGCATTCAAATCTGAACACCTATTTTTTGGTCGAAATTCATGTCCAAATCTTACCCCAAGATTCGTATATAGACATGGGTCAAAAATTACCACCCCTATAACTAGGTCAAATCTCATCCGATTTTCACGAAGTTTGGCTTTTTGTTCAAGGTTTTCCCTCTAGAATAATCTGGCATTCAAATCTGAACACCGATTTTTTAGTCGAAATTCATGTCCAAATCTTACCCCAAGATTCGTATATAGACATGGGTCAAAAATTACCACCCCTATAACTAGGTCAAATCTCATCCGATTTTCACGAAGTTTGGCTTTTTGTTCATGGTTTTCCCTCTAGATTAATCTGGCATTCAAATCTGAACACCGATTTTTTAGTCGAAATTCATGTGCAAATCTTACCCCAAGATTCGTATATAGACATGGGCAAAATTTACCACCCCCATAACTCGGTCAATCTCATCCGATTTTCACGAAGTTTGGCTTTTTCTTCATGGTTTTCCCTCTAGATTAATCTGGCATTCAAATCTGAACACCTATTTTTTGGTCGAAATTCATGTCCAAATCTTACCCCAAGATTCGTATATAGACATGGGTCAAAAATTACCACCCCTATAACTAGGTCAAATCTCATCCGATTTTCACGAAGTTTGGCTTTTTGTTCAAGGTTTTCCCTCTAGAATAATCTGGCATTCAAATCTGAACACCGATTTTTTAGTCGAAATTCATGTCCAAATCTTACCCCAAGATTCGTATATAGACATGGGTCAAAATTTACCACCCCCATAACTCGGTCAAATCTCATCCGATTTTCACGAAGTTTGGCTTTTTCTTCATGGTTTTCCCTCTAGATTAATCGGGTATTCAAATCTCGATACCGATTTTTTGGTCGAAATTCATGTCCAAATCTTACCCCAAGATTCGTATATAGACATGGATCAAAATTTAACAACCCCATAACTCGGTCAAATCTCATCCGATTTTCACGAAGTTTGGCTTTTTCTTCATGGTTTTCCCTCTAGATTAATCGGGCATTCAAATCTCGATACCGATTTTTTGGTCGAAATTCATGTCCAAATCTTACCCCAAGATTCGCATATAGACATTTGTCAAAATTTACCACCCCCATAGCTAGGTCAAATATCATCCGAATTTCACGAAGTTTGGCTTTTTCTTCATAGTTTTCCCTCTGGAATAATCTGGCATTCAAATCTGAACACCGATTTTTTAGTCGAAATTCATGTCCAAATCTTACCCCAAGATTCGTATATAGACATTTGTCAAAATTTACCACCCCCATAACTAGGTAATATCATCCGAATTTCACGAAGTTTGGCTTTTTCTTCATGGTTTTCCCTCTAGATTAATCTGGCATTCAAATCTCGATACCGATTTTTTGGTCGAAATTCATGTCCAAATCTTACCCCAAGATTCGTATATAGACATGGGTCAAAAATTACCACCCCCATAACTCGGTCAAATCTCATCCGATTTTCACGAAGTTTGGCTTTTTGTTCATGATTTTCCCTCTAGATTAATCTGGCATTCAAATCTGAACACCGATTTTTTAGTCGAAATTCATGTCCAAATCTTACCCCAAGATTCGTATATAGACATGGGTCAAAATTTACCACCCCCATAACTTGGTCAAATCTCATTCGATTTTCATGAAGTTTGGCTTTTTCTTCATGGTTTTCCCTTAAGATTAATCTGGCATTCAAATCTGAACACCGATTTTTTAGTCGAAATTCATGTCCAAATCTTACCCCAAGATTCGTATATAGACATGGGTCAAAATTTACCACCCCCATAACTAGGCCAAATCTCATCCGATTTTCACGAAGTTTGGCTTTTTACACCCTGAACCCATTAAAAATGGGTATAAGGGTATATTGTATTTGTGCGAAAGCCAAATGTATGTAACAGGCAGAAGAAAGCAACTCCGACCCCATAAAGTATATATATTCTTGATCAGCATAAATAGCTGAGTAGATCTAGCCATGTCCGTATGTCTGTCTGTCTGTCCGTCCGTCCGTCCGTATGTATGAACGCAAGAATCTCAGAACATATAAGAGCTAGAGACTGAAATTTTAGATGTAGGTGCTCCTAGTTCCCGCGCAGATCGAGTTGGTTTCCGATAATCGATAACTTACTCCGTTTACAAGCAATCGATAAGAATCGATATCAATATCCTGTTTTTTTGGGCAATTTTGGTAAATAATAAGAACTAGAGTCACCAAACTTGACTATAGTTTCTAAAATAGAATAAATATATGCACTCGATGTTGGAAAAAGAGGGTTCAGGGTATCCCCTAGTCGGGAGCTCCCGACAAGAACCTCTTACTTGTTATACGCTGTGCCAGAGTTTCTGGCTATCAAACATACAATTATTTAATTTTCAAATGCGAGGTAAGGAGTCGTATCTGCGGTTAGCGTGTGGTTATAGTACTTTCTATAAACTTTACCTAAGATAATTACTATTCACGCTTTTATTATTATTATATATATTATTATTTTAGACCTGACTCTCCTAGAACTCTTCTCAATCTATATTTGAAAATAAGTTTTAAGTTTTCTTTTACTATGTAAGCTTCAAAATCGATTGTACAAAAATTAAGCTTTGGATCATACAACTTTTAGACTCCATTTTTCACCCAGAAGGAGTACTTTCAAAAGTTTGAAATTTATTTTCCGTAACCTTTGACTCAACCAAGAGATTGACGAAGAACCCGTCTTAGCTTGCATAAGTTAATGAGTACTTCTAGACGACACCTAATTCCTTATAGTTCAAGAATAGAACATGTTAACTATATTTATTTTCTATTTATGTTCTTAGCTGACAGAATTAGGCATTTGATTGGTTCGGTTTTTATATACGGTGGATCAGACAGACAGACGCGTGGTATTGATTGAAATAGCTAAGATTAGAATATATGTATGTATGTATGCATTTATGAACTCACCTGACAGCTGCCTTGTTGAGAGCATCTGGCGTATCGACAGGTGGCAAAGTTTCCGTTTCCCATGCATCGGCGACCGACATATTTGAGCCCGTTTCTATCGATCGCTGCGACGATTGCTCGACAAGTGGATTGAATATTGAACCAACTGGACCGGCGCTTATGGAATTCGGATAATCGATGGTATCGCGACTTATCCTGAGGTCGTAGGTGGGTCGCTCGGTTGACGACGGTATGTGCGGCGTATCGGTTACGAAATTCGTTTGATTTGGCGACGAGGGCTGCATTTTGCCGACAGAGTTCGGACCCCTCGACGTGCTCTCAGTGCGACTATCCAACGCGCGTTTGTCAGCGGCCGTAGACGAAGCGGTTCCGTTGCTGCCCCTAGCACTACCAAGGCGCTCCGCGAGTGGCTCACTAAGCGGTGTCTGGAAGAAGCTAATGCTGGCCGCCGAGGGCGAGGCGATCGATTGATACTGTGCGTCGGCCTGTGAGAAGCTCTTGCGACTATTCGAGCGCCGTACAATAGTAAGTGAGCCGTGTTCTGCAAAAAACAGCAACAAACATAACACGGTGAGTAGTGTGAGATGGGTAAGACTGCTTTTATCTAAATGTGTTGACACTTGAACAAAACACACTTCGATTTACTGAAGCATAAAATAAATTTAGTTTGCCCAAGCTCAACAATCAGTTGAACCTAAATTTGAATTGAATGGAAAAACAAATTCAAAAGGCGGGACAAATGGGTGTAAACAGAAACTACGGAAACTTATTTAGCCAGTGCTACATTAGATTTAAGTTGAATATAGAATAGTCCAAAATAAAGCTGAAAAAATTTGCCTAATAATTGTAATAATAACAAAAAGAATAGGACTAATGAAAATAATATTTTTAAGAAGAATATTACGAATATTATGATTTGTACAGACTGCAAAAAAAAATTCGCTGAGAGACTAGTTGGTAGACCAACATGTCTGCAATGATTTGAATATTGATGCAGATGCAATATCTACTTACATATGAAACGAATATGAATAAATATTCAAATCGTATTTCTAATGACACACACTCATTGCCAATTGCTTTAGAATAACTTAACAATTTATAGAATGGCTTTAAGCCATTGTGGCATACGATTTTTCATTTAGTTAAACCCGAAGCGCAAATGTAACCTCTAAACGAGCGAGTCGGAGTTGGCTGCTCCTGCTACTGGCACGTCCTCGCACATCCTTTAACTGGCAAAAGCAAATCGAAGTGAATGCTAAGCTGCGCGCGAGTAAATTGCAAAAGATTTATCTATTTGCTAAGCGTTGAGCGTTGAGAATAACAGCCATAAGAATGGGCAAAACAAAGGGAGAAGCCTGAGTGTCTGAGCTCCTGAGGCGAACTTGGCAACCGGCAAAGACAAGGACACCAAGTAGAAGAAGAACAACACCAAGGACTGTTAACTGCATTCCATTTATTTTGGCAGTGCAAGCGCCGCCGGCAAAACGAGCTAGGGATAACCACCTCCAGCTCCTTCAGCTGAAGCAGTAGCTGCTTCCACTCACATAAAACTCGCTTTTATGCAGCACTTAAATTTATGTTACACCCGAGATTCCTCTGCTTAACGGTATCGTTTCAGGAGCTGTTCTTGTTGTGTCTGCTTATCGCGGCTCCAGTTTCAGGTCTGAGAACTTAACTTTAGCGTTTGGGGCTGGCGAAATGTTTTATGTTACTTTTACTAGCCACTCTTCACGTTTTTAATGAGTTCAGCAAGCCAAAAATCAAAAGCTACACAAACTGTACCCAAAATGTTGCCCAGTCCCGACCAGGTGAGAGGGCGAAACTGAGCAGGGATAGTAGGGGGCGAGCTTTAAGGCCAAGTCTATAAGGGTTCTGCTTGCAGCTGATGGTTTTGAATTATGCAGCAATGCACTCGCCTTCACTAGAAATGAAAATCTTGACCTCCGGTCAACAGTGGCCACGCCCCTGCTTCAACCCGTGTCCTGTTATGAAAAATGTTTACTTACTTGCCACTTGACCATTTATTGCCGCATTGGCGCCGCCGCCGCTGCTGCCCAGCTCACAGATTGTGGGGCTCTGTTCGCCGTTATTTGGCTCAGTGGCACCGCCTGCCGTCGAAGCTGCACCACCAACAGCACCGCTTGCCGCAGCTCCAATGCCGCTGCTGCCACCGCTGCCACCCGCACTGCTGTTGCTGCCACCTGGGCCGGCGTTGCTCTCTTCACGTTTACTTGGCAGAGTCTCCGGCGTGCTGGCAACTGTAAGCATCGAAAAAAATATATATATGTATATGCAAAATGTCTTTAGAAAATGTTTTTCTTCTCTTATATTTCTTTCGCTTATGTGTTAGTATACGAGCTGCCTTTCAACAGGTCCCAAAATAGCCCTCTTCACATGTACACACATTCGAGAGTGCCCAAAGGCCTTTGGCTGCGTCTTACATAAATAAGCCCTTTTTTTTTGGGTGCGAACTTGGGTCGCTCAGCCCGAAGGTATAAAAGGGTATGCGCTATTGTATAAGCCTTGTGTTAGGATAATACTGCAAAATTATGACTATGTGTGTGCAGCTGAGTTTATGGCATGGGTTGAATACAATAAATTTTAGCATATCAAGTAAAGTGCACGACTGGGAGCTACCCTGTAACCAGCCAACAAACATTCTAAGTTCCTTTTAGGAATGAGTATACAATTTGTTGCGATTAAATGATGTATAAGTCCAGTTGGTAAGGCACGATAATTGGTATTTTGGTATTAAATGCATGATTAAATTCTTTAGTGACTTGTTTAACTAAATTTCAAGCTGTCCGGCTCGAGTCGCAACGACCACAAAACAACAAGGTGCAAACACCTCAAGTTAACAGGTTATCTGTCGGGCTATTTCAAGAACCTTCCGGTTATATCATCACAGACTTTTGCCACCGACTCTAGATTATTGTTAATTTTTTATTTGAAAATGTTATTTTATTTGGATTATTTAATTGTCGTCCATAGCTGGTTTTGCATGAAGATACTTTGTATTAGAGGTCAGATATACTTTATACGCTGTACACCTTGACATTAAATATGAGCTAAAAATAAGCTTTAAAATAATTAATTCTCGCTGTTTGATCAACATGAAACTTATCTTAAGAGAAATCGGAATATATTGAGTATTTCACAATTCGCAAGCATTGGCATGCCTTTTTTTTCTCGCGTTTTCGTTTGTGATAAGATTTCATCTAATAATAATTATAATTATAAATATTTGTATATTCTACAAGTTTTTATTCTTTTCCAGCCATTTCAGTGCAGTTTAATATATATCTACTGCTTATCAGTTCCACTTGTTTTAGTTATTTACAAATTATTTTATTTGTTTTTTTTAATGACTCATTACTTTCTATTTACTGATTATAATTATCAAAATATATGTATATCGATTATACTTATGTTCGGAATCCATTGAAAAAGGGTAAGTAGGCTATAATGGATCTGTGCAACGAAGCACACCCGACCACATTGAATATACAAATTCTTAATCAACCGAGTCGATCTATTCACGTCCCTCTGTTTAGTCTGTTCTATGAATGCGACGAACTCAAAAACCTAAAAGAGCTAGGGAAATATTTTCATAGTTTGTAATCGAGTTTATTGCAAATGATCGATAGCTTGGCAAGTTTCAATCAATGCAAGTCGAAATCCTGTTTATTTTTTGGGATACTTCTTAGCTTGACGGATCTTAAGTTATCAAATGGGACATGTAGCTTCTCGAATAGTAGACACAGATATAGTGTATCGTTTTCTGGATACCAGCTCGATAAATTGAAGCGTGAATTTTCGGGAATGATGTATGAATGAATTGGTATGGATGTGCATACTTATTACATATGATGAACATATATTCGTATGCATTTTAAATTAAATATATGTATCTGTTTGGGGGTCTCCTAGTCGAATAGAGTACGGTTTCTTACTTAAATTTCTTGTTACAATCAGGCAAACTAATGACTATGTTTAATGTGTATAGATATTTTGCATTTTTGTTTTTTTAAGGTAACAATACTTATTTTGATATATTTTCTTGTGCTGTCCCCATTTGGATTGGGGTCGGCAATCCTTTGACTTGAACGCCTTTATAAGCAGCTAGGACCATATTCACGTAAGCCAACAGCTGCTACAGAATTGTGTTCAGAAAAGCTCTTGGCAAGGGCAGGCACTTCTAGAAGATTATTGTTGGCATATTGCGCATACGCTAAGCTGAACAGATTATTCAATTGAATCAATTGACAATCGTTTATTTTTAGTTTACAATTGAAAGGTGTCAAATGTCACGACAATTTGTTGCATATGCTTATTTCGTTTGGATTTGTTTTTTTAGAATTATTGTACAGCTAATTATTGACGTTGGATTGCTCAGGCAAACGGCTTTACGGCAGCCAGCTTGCTGAGTTGTTATCTATTCGAATATATAAAACAATGCCAGCGACTGTGTGAAACTTCAGTCTTGTCTAACCAGTCGCCCAGCTCTAATCATCATGCGTTTCCTCGCTCTTATCGCCCTCTGCCTGTTGGCCTTGTTCGCGCTCACCGCTGCCGCCGATCAGGAGGAGTTCTGTGCCTGTCCCCGCAATTTGGAGCAGGTCTGTGGCACCGATGGCACCACCTACCCCAATCCCTGTGAGCTGCGCTGTGCCGCTAAGCGTGCCACTCGTCAAGGGCGCTCTCTGGGTCAGGCCAGAAGTGGACCCTGCTAGTGTCTTTAACCATATCGGATTTGGGATTATGCTAATTTTACTGAAGCTTCAACAGAAATAAACATTTTTACGAGTATTGCAAACTGGACACGTGTTACTTGTTGATTTTGCTAAGTTTTGTTTAATCAATTGTTCGCACAACTTATTCCACTGATAATAACATTTTTATGCCAGGGCTGGGTGAGTTGCAGCATAAATTTCAACAAACTGGGCATGGAGTTTATATACATAGGCCAAGCTTACATTTCATAAAAATGAGAAGTTCTTCGTTCGATCGATTAGCAGATATTGTGACTTTGTGAAAAGGTTATTTTAAAGAGCGTAATCAGGCATCTGTGATTATTTCGATTGTTAATTTATATTCACATTCAGCATTTATAGCCAAGTGGTTGTGGATATACCCAGTCAAGCCAGGATGTAAATTATAATTCCGTAGTGGAAAGCTTAGTCACACCATATAACATCTATGATTACAAATGTCTTCGAGCTAGAAGATATCCTCTAGTAAATAGTCTATATATGAAGAGTTTAAAAATAAATGTCTACGGACAAGCCATTTAGTTTTTCCCATTATATGGTAATTTGGTTTCACTTGACATACGTTTATTTTTACACCTGCTCAGACATTCAATGGCGCTACATCAAGAATATTAAACGATTTGTCGAAACTAACGCTCCTTTGGGTGGTCCTAGCTCTCATCGCTGTCTGCCTATTAGATTGGGTGACCCAGTCCAGAAACCAAGAAGCAGCTCTGGGGAAGCAACAATGTCATCCACCATATTCGTTGCCTGCTGGATTGCGTCATTAAAATTACGAAGCGTCGCAGCTTGTCTTTAATTAAAACAGGACCTTGTTAAGGGCTGAGCAAAATTCAAATTTTATCTTTGGCTTGCCTAAGGAACTGCGAGCACTTATTTTATTGCAGAGCTGTGTAAATTTTCTTAAATACAACTTTATCAATTGATTTAAGATTTCTTTATGCTTAAAGTTAGTTGCTTAAGAAGTTGTTGATTGTTAAATGTTAGTTTAAATCAGATTTAGTTTAGAATTACCAAGTTCTCTTTTCGAATTTGGTATATTATTTTCGCTTCTCGATTAAGATTTTTAAGCGTTTCCTAACCCTTGACATCCTTACCGCGGATAATTGTCTAAGGATAAAGTGTCTCTTATCTAATCTTTGCCTGCGATAGTAATAACTAGCTGCAACCTTCCATGTGCACTAAATATGTCGAAGATTCATAAAATTGATGAAATAAATGAAAAAACCAACATTGCAAATTGTAAATGTATTGCCTTTGGATTTATTTACCCAAGTGTTTAGCTGCTATTCATATGTGATAAAAAAATGTAGAACCAAATCAAATAATAATATTATAGCAGGGCTGACGAGCGTAGTGAAAAATGCTCAACAGGTGGCAAAAAATTAATGTCTTAAATTTGAAATCCTAATACTATTTATTTTGATCTTTCGGTCATCATTTAGCAAAGTATCTCTAATTATATACATTGAAATGGTTAAACCTATGTAGAGGGTATTATAATATTGCCAAGACATATATAACGCATAGAAGAAGACATCTTTGAGCCCAAAAATTATATATTCTTGATCAGAACTAACAGCCAAGATGATGTCCATTCGCCCGTCTATCTGTTCTTATGCGAACTGGTCTCACAGTTTTAAAGATGTCATCACGAAGCATTCCATAGGTCCGTAATTTTTCTGCTGCAATACACTTGTCAAGTCGGCCAGATCGGGCTACCATATCATATTGCTGCCGTGGAAACAATCGGTCGAAAAGTAGGTTCTTGTAAGAAATACTCTTTTGTTTGTCAGGATATCTTTACCGAATACTTCACTAATAAGTGTCACTATATTCCCTTACATATATGCAACATATTATTGACATCGGGCTGTATCGGTCGAAACGTAGCTTCTTGTATGAATATAGGGAGATTACGCATTCAGAATCGAAAAGCTCATAAAGTATATTCAAGCAACTGGTTTCGGAGCTTGATCAAATTGCATCAACATCTTTTTTTCGTCTATGCTTTTAAATATCTATATGCTTGATTAACTTTTTAGATCCTAGTATATTTGGTGTTCATAGTTCACTTAAAGCGGAATCAATGGTTCACGGAAGCCAACCCTTAAGTCAGAGCGCATTGTCATCTGATTTATAGCTGTTTATACATACGTTGTCCAGATAAAGACTGTTGCTATCAATCGGCACTCCAAAATGGGCTTACTGATAAGCGGCAATATTACACATATACACAAATATATTACCCCATTGATGATTCAGCTCAGTTGATTCACAATTGAACAAAGTGATTTTATTTTGAAGAAATTTTTAAATGTTTTGAAATGATTTTATATTGACAATTGTGAAAGAAATTCGTCTCAGCAATTTCCTGATCTTAGCAAATCCAAGCTGCGTCCAGCCCTCTCCAACTCGCGACGCGCACAATCGTATAGACAGCGATTCGGGTAGGAGATCAAATTGCTGGCACAGACCGGATCATA